TTGTACCTCAAGGTAATTCTGAACGAGACCATGTTCCCTCCATTCAACAATCTGAAAATAGGAGAAAAAGTGAGTGTGGGTTTTGGACAACAGTAGTAGTCTGTTTTTTTTTTATTTTACAAACTTAAAATTTTCTTAGAACTTCATACATGCATATACTTGTATTTACATCATTTCTTTTTCTTACTCTACCCTGAAACTACACCTATATATTCCTGACTCATTCTCATATTCATGACTCCATGTATATATATATATATATATATATATATATATATATATATATATATATACTACAGAGTAAATATATTGTTGCTCATATATACATGTGTATATGACTTGATACTTTTGATTGTGGATTGGATGACCTATGAGTGGGTTCTCACCCCTAGAAGAAAATATCCATACCTTTTCAATATCCATTGATTGCCTATAGCTCTTCATCTAGGGGTGGGATATTATAAGGCTTACCCTATCCCCATTGGCATGAGGGTGCATCTTGTTTAAACAACCATATTGAAAAATGACTTCCTATAACTATTCTCATAAATTAGTGAAAACAAAGATTTTCTGGGCACCTGTCGATTTCCTATTTCATTGCACTTCAAATCTTTATAGTGATATGTTCAGGGTTCATTGTGTGTTTTAAGTCTGTTTTATTTCCTGTGATTTTTTTTACTTTGATCTTTACTCCTCCCTCTGCTAATATAGCCACCACAGGGGCTCTTCTGTCTTCACCCCCTCTCCCCTGAAAATTTTCTGTTATTTAGTATATTGTGAAAATTTTCTGAGACTCATTGCTCATCTTGATCTCCATCTCCAAACCTCTCAGTTGTAATCATATTCACACTAGAAGTAGCTTCAATTGTCAATGAGCCTATCAGAATGAACTCTTCACTTTTCTTTTTTTGCTTCTGACAATCGTGTTTTTTTTTTTTTACTTGCATCACTCACCTTATTGGCTAGCTTCCCCCTCCTCCCAGCTATCCCCCAGTTATTCCCTTTAAACTATACCAGTCCTTGATTGGGCATGATCACCACCCTCTTTGTTCATTTTTTTTTTTTTACTGTTTTTAGAAGCAAAATTTCAAAACACTGTTATATGCTGACGTTTTGTTTTAGAGTTCCTTTCTGATCTTTTTTTGTTTGATAGTCACAGTTATAGACCATCATTTTCAGGATGTGCGTAGTGGTATTTTTTAAGAGTCTGGGTAACCTCTTTTTTTATATTATTAAAATATGGCAGATAATGAAACAAGAGAACCACAATCTTGGACAGAAACACTTCACATTAATTCAAACAGTCCCATCATAAGTAGAGATTAGCTTGTATGATACAAGCTTGATTGCGTGAACACAGTTGTTTGTGTTTTCTTGCAGGAGAACATATGAAAAATAACCAGAAGCAAATGGAATATCTACAATCTGAACCAACGTCTAAAAAACCAGGTGTATCAAAAGAACACAAATGTGAAGTATTGATGTTATATAATAGTTCCCAGAAAAGAACAAGAAGGAGGGGCCCAGGCCTTCCAAAAGCCAACAACTGCATGAGATGTCAGTGTCCTTTGAATTCTCTGAATTCAGTACTTTGGAAATTTCTTCATAATTTATTATTTAAGTATTTTGAACATCTTACAGTAAATGAGTCTGTGATTTTTTTTTTTGAAATTAGCAGCACAAACATTTACTCAACATATAAGAATATCTGAGTTGCAAACTTTTTTAGGCTTTTCCAGTGGGAATGTGATCAGACCACTATAAACAATAACGGTTCTATAGGAGTGAACCTCTGCTGTGGAATGTCATTCTGTATGCTGTGAATGTGTATTTCTCTGATTGCTCTGTGTTGCTGATAAGTAAAATGCTGATTGGCCAATAGCCAGGTAGGAAGTATAGGTGGGATAAGCAGACAAAGAGAATTCTAGGAAGAGGAAGGCTGAGTTAGGAGACATTTTTAGTCACCACAAGAAGAATCAAAATGTAAAGTACTGGTAAGCCGCAAGCCATGTGGCCAAGTATAGATTTATAGACATAGGTTAATTTAAGATGTAAGAGCTAGCTAGGGAGAAGCCTGAGCCATTTGCCATATAGTTTAAAAATAATATAAGCCTCTGTGTGTTTATGTGTGTCTGAGCAGCTGAAGGACTGGGCAAGGCACAGGAAAACTTCCAACTACAAACCTCTATCATTTTGTTTTCTCTTGATAATAAATTATAAACTGTTTGCTATTGTAATTAGTAATAGTGGTAGTAATCTATTGTAAGTCAGGAAGAGAGCATCCCAGTATAATTTTGATATGCACTTACATTCCTGATGGCAAATGATATTAATCATTTTTCCATGTATTTGTTGGTCACTTTTATTTCTTCTTTTGAGAAGTCATCCAAAAGAAAATCTATATCAACAAATGAAACTTTGCATAATTCTGTTCCCATCCCCAGGGAGATCTGTTAATATCTGCAAAACAATTTTGGTTGTGATAATGAGTAGTATCTGAGGTTATGTTAATTCTATCAAGTATGACAAGGCCAAGAATGGTATCAATCATCTTATAAACACAAGAAATGCTACCCAATAATCAAGATGCCCTCAATATAGTTGGTGCTTCACTTAAAAATGATACTCAGAACTAAGAATTAACGTTTCTCTCCCTAGGTGCAAGCCCACTATAATGATTTATTTTCTTAAGATGGCTTCTTATATTTCCAATGAAAGCTTGCAACCCATGAGTCTAGAAGTAAAGTTACAGACTAATGAATATTAAAAGATAAGCAAAATTTAACTTTAATATGAGTGTTGTATCTTGAGTAGAAACTTTCTTTGAGACAGCACAGATTGCTCAGCAGTTAAGGTCAGCTTGTGTTCTTCCAAAGGACCTGGGTATCTCAAAACTACCTATGACTCTAGATCCAGGGGATCTGAACACTGGTAGTTTCAACAGCCATCTGCACAGATGTGGCATACACTCACACAGACAAATACACACATGCATAATATAAGTAAAACTTTTACAAAATATTTTTTAAAGCTTTGAGAATTATTTTTGGTTGTTTACTATCTTGATTAAATGCCTCTCCAAGGGGATATATAAGATTCTGAAAAATTGAACAGAAGTGCCCTCTGATTCACTTAAAATTTCCAAAAATTGGTCTAGAATAAGCTATTTCAAATGCAGTTTTGAAATCCTCTTGCCTTTCCTTGTCAATTTTAGGTTTTATTCTTTGCAAAAGTATTGATTCTATGTGAAATATGAATCAAATTAAGATTAAATATATGAATCTTTAGGTGCTTCTTTTCTTTTTTTTTGCAACAGTGTCAAGGCAGCATTTGTTATAGTTTTGACAATTCTTTTCTGATTATCTATCTTCCACTTTATGTTTACAGGTGAAGCAAATTCATTGGATATTGTACCTCAAGGTAATTCTGAACGAGACCATGTTCCCTCCATTCAACAATCTGAAAATAGGAGAAAAAGTGAGTGTGGGTTTTGGACAACAAATTATCAGGGTAAAACAAACAATGATGATACAAGTGTAGGGATGGGATTGACCTTTAATAATGAGAACTCAAACCCACAAAATGACCTTGTATTCCTTTCAGGATTTAGCTGTCATGGCAGTAATCGAAATGGCCAGAAGCAATTGCGTCATCAACAACCTGAGTCTACATGTGTAATTCCCTTTACATCAGAAGAAGATACCACTAAAATTTTAATGGAAGACCCACTTACTAGAGATAGAAGAAATACAAGAAGTGCGAGTCCGGAAGTTCTGATAGTTGGAGAAATGACTGAAAGTAGACCACCTCAACCTATTCACCAGGTGGCTTTAGTCAAAGGTCATCATCCTGTATCACCTGAAACTTTTCCACATCTTAACATGCATGAACCTTTGTCTAATGGTAGGCCAGCTTTTCCACTGAACATATCTGAGTTGCAAACAAGGCATTCTTTCACATCTTCTCCAACAAGAAGATGCACTGCACATAGAAATCAGTCTACATCTGTAACACCAGCTAACTTTATCAATGTGGAAATTAATAGAAACGAACACACAAACATATTTTCACATTCTAATGAGGGAGGTATGCCGAATTCTGAAATAATTTCTGTTGCTCAAACTTCCAATACTGGTTTAGAGATTCCTTTAGCTACAGTTCCTTATGGAACATCAGGGCAAATGCTTACACAAATTCTTGAGGTAGAACATGATAATTGCCCTGAGAGCGTTTTAGAGGCCCGTGACTCATCTTCAAGTCAAAATAATACAAGTGTTCATTCTGGTGAAAGTAGTATTTCTAGTTTTGTTTCCAGTTCTTTTTCACATTCTACCAGCAATACTACAATTTCTTCATTACATTCATTGTCAACACCCCGCCGACCAATTTTGCAAATCCCTATTGTTTTGCAGACCACTATTATAAGGGATGAAAATTTACCAGCTACTTTTGAAATTAATGAAAGCTATAATGAACCAATTTTATCTTCTCATACACCCTCTGAGGCCAGGCGAGCAAGACGATTTGCAGGCCGAGAAGAATCTGATGATAGTGATTCTTGGCCATTTTTGCCTAATTTTGCTAACTTCAATGATATTCATAATAATCATCCTAGAGGACTTACCAAGGAACAGATTAATAGTTTACCAATAAGATCTTTTTGTGAAAATGATAGATTAAATATCTGCACTATTTGTCTTGCAGAATACACAGAAAGCAGTAGAATTCGCATTCTGCCTTGCTCTCATGAATATCATGATGAATGCATTGATAATTGGCTACCTGAAAAATCTAACTGTCCTATTTGTCGTAGACAAGTAATCAATCCTCCTGATGATACAGAAATTCCATTTTGAGTTCTTGACCTCAGACAAATAAATTGTTATAATGATGAATGAAAATTGTCACTTGATGTCTCAATTTGTGTTTCTATTGATTTGAAAAGCATAATGACCAAAAAGCAGCATTGGCAAAAAGGGTTTATTTGGCATGTACATCCACCCACAGAAGAGAAGGCAGGAACTCAAGGCAGGAACCTGGAGCTGTAAGCTGATGCAAAGACCATGGAGGGGTGTTCCTTACTGGCTTGCTCCTTATACAACCTTTTTTCTTATGTAAACAATACTGTCCTGGACTCACCCCCACTAATCACCAATTAAGAAATACCTTACAGGGTAGCCTGCCTGCAACCAAGTTCTGTAGAATCATCTTCTCAATTGAGGTTCCCTCCTCACATATGACTCTAGCTTGTGCCAAGTTGACAAAAAACATCATCACATAGACATATCATTTTCTTTCTCATTGCCTCCTAAAGGTCAATATTAATATTATAATATATGACATATTATAAACTTATAAAGTCCTGTAGTCTTTCTTTATAAATTGAAATGCTTTAAAAGCCCAGCCTCTTAAAAAAATATAATGCCTCTGTAAAACTCCAAAATCTCTTTAAGTGTTTAAAGTATCTCAAAGTGGGCTCTCCTAAAATCCAAATAAGTAAAATATGTTTTTTATTTCACAATCATATCAAAGTAAATCCAAAACCATCAATATACATGCCAGTATAAGTCACTTAGGTTCACTCAAGACCATCTGAGCTACTCTAAAGAGCTCGACATAACATGTACAACTTGTCCCATAGGATCAGGGCAACTTGCTGCTACTCTCCATGGTGGTCATTGCATGGTTCTGACATCTCCAGAATTCTGGGGTTTCCTGCTGCAACTGGCCTGCACTTTCACCAATTGCCGCTCCTGGGCATTCCTTATATTGCCAGGTCTCAACTTCTAAGACTCCTTTAATCCTGAGGCTTCAACTATCACTGAGGCTACACCTTTTTCAATGGCTTCCCCTATCTTCTCACAGTGCCAAGCCTCAGCTCTTCTCCAAGACCCATTCATGCCTTCAGAACCAGTACCACTTTGGAGACTCTTGCAGTTGACAAGTTTGACTACCAATACATGGTAGAACCTTAGCTGTCTTTAGAACATAGCTTCTATGTGTTGACACTGAGGAAACACTTCCCAGAAGATTTCACCTTAATGATGCTGGTCTCTTTGTAATCACTGTTAATTTCTCATCTCCAGCTGACTAGCATCAATTATCCCATTAAAGGATAATTTTCACTTCAACAGTTTCACTTCAGTAGTCCTGGTCATTTTTTAATTAGAGGTGATTCAGCTTAAGATGACCAGTCCCTACAAATTCCTAATACAAAATAGAACAATAGAGGCTTTGCTTTCTTCTGAAACTTCACAGACCATGCCTTATACTGTCAGAATTGTTCTCAACATGCTTATCTTCTAACATTCTACAGAATTCTACAGACCCCACAGCACTCCCAATGCTCCAAAGTCCTTCTGCAAATCTTCCAAAAACAAATGTTCAGTTCTATTGAAATTATACCTCACTTATAGTACTAAGTATTAGTATTATTATCTATCTATCTGTATTAGTTTGTATTTATATTGCTATGATAAAACACCATGATAAAAATTAGCTTAGGGAAGAAAGAGTTTATTTGGCTCACATATCATGGGTCACAGTCCATTGGTAGAAAACAAGGTATGAACTCAAATAAATCAGGAATCCAGAGAAGGAAGCTGATGCATAGACCATGGAGGAGTGTGGCTTACTGGCTTGTTCCTTATAGCTTTCTCAGCCTCCTTTCTAATAGAACCCAGGACCAGCAGCCAGAAGAGTCTTCAACCAAAATGGACTAGGCTCTTCTCCATCAATCACTATTTTAAAAATAAGCTGTAGTCTTGCCTACAGTCTGGTCTTACGGAGTCATTTTTGCAAGTGAGATTCCCTGTTCTCTGATGACTCCAGTTTGTGTGAAATTGATATAAGAACTAGTCAGCACACTTGATTGATACTGTAAATCCCTGATATGAGTCACTGGGCCCAGAGGAATGATTTGCTTTCCCCAGTATTTGTTTCAGAATGAAAATAACTATTTTATGTATCTTATCTTACAGAAAAGTCTAATTTCACACTGGGACAAGTCACTGGATTTGGAAATGAGTTTAAAATTTATCCCAGGTCGTGATGTTCCTGATTCACGGAAGTAGTATTTTAACAATGGTGTAATAATTTTCAGATATATCCTAAAAGTTTTATCTAATAAGATGTGTCTCAGGGACTTTATAGCCTTGGCCAGTATTGTGTGTGTTCAAAAATGTAGCAAGGAAAAACAAAATTAAGAATTAATGCAAGAACTTAATAGAATTATCCATATTAAAATGGTGTTACTATCACAACTTATTAAAAATATTAACATACTTACCTTTATGTCTGATATTCCAGCAGTTTTTCCCACCCCTTCACACCTTAGTTTTTTTTTTTATTAAATGCTGAGTGTCCACATTTATTTCAAACAGTTTTTACTGATAAACAGTAATAATATAGCTTTCATAGGGTTAGAGTTTTAGTACTTTACAAGGGAACTTATTTTTATTTATATTTTTATATATTTTTTCATTTTACATACCAACCACAGTCCCCCCTCCCCCCACTCCTCCTGCTCTCCCCCTACCTTACCCCCCATCCACTACTCAGAGAGGGAAAAGCTGCCCATGGGGATTCAACAAAGTTTGGCACATCAAGTTAAGGTAGGACCAAGCTCTTTCCCCCTACATCAAGTTTGAACAAGCAATCCCACCATTGAGAATGAACTTCAAAAAGACAGTTCATTCAGCAGGGATAAATCCTGGTTTCACTGCCAGGGGCCCCACAAACAGACCAAACCAAACAACTGTCACCCAAATTCAGAGGGCCTACTTCAAGCACTGCAGGTTCCCCAGCCACCAGTCCAGAGTACTTGAGCTACCACTATCTTGGGTCAGCTATCATGACTTTGATACCCACTGGTCATGCAATCCTTCCTCATTCTCTTTGACTGGACTCCAGGTTCTCAGCCCAGTGCCTATATGTGTATCTCTGTTTCTGCTTCCATCAGTCACTGAATGAAAGCTCTATGACAATTAGGTTGGTCACCAATCTGATTACCAGGGAAGACCAGTTAAGAAACTATTTCCACTATTGCTAGGGGAGTTATCTGGGGTCATCCTTGTAGATTTCTGGTGATTTCCATAGTACCAGGTTTCTTTCTAACCCCATAATGTCACCCTCTATCAAGATATTGCTCTTATTCCTCTACCTCTTCATCATTCCCTGTACTTGACCATCCCATTCCCTCATGCTCTTATTCCCCATCCCTGTCCCATTTCTCCCTCCCAGTTTTCCCTATTACCTCTCCCAGGGTGATTTACACAAGCCCTTCTTAGTGTCACACTTGTTACATAGTTTCTCTGGGATGGTGGATTGTAGGCTGGTTATTCTTTATTTTATATCTCATATCCACTTATGAGTGAGTATATATCATGTTTGTCTTTCTGAGTCTAGGTTACCTCACTCAGGATGATTCTTTTTTATGTTACATCTGCCTGCAAATTTCATGATTCATTGTTTTGTTTTGTTTTGTTTTTCTTCTGAGTAATAAGCCATTAAGATATATTACATTTTCTTTATTCATTCCTCAGTTGGGGATCATCTAGGTTGAATCCAGGTAAGACTATTATGAATAATGCTGATATGAACATAGTTGAGGAAGTGTCCTTGTGGTATAACTGAGCATCCTTTGGGTATATGCCCAAGAGTGGTATTGCCGAGTTTTGAGGTAGATTAATTCTCAGTATTCAAAGAAACTGCCATAGTGATTTATAAAGTGGTTGTACAAGTTTAAACTCCCACCAGCAATGGAGGAGTGATCCGTTACTTCACATGCACTCCAACATAATCTCTTATCAGTGTTTTGATCTTAGCCATTCTAACATGTGTAAGATGGTATCTCAAAGTCATTTTGATTTGCATTTCCCTGATGGCTAAGAATCTTGAACAATTCTTTAAGTGTATCTCAGCCATTTGAGATTTTTCTGTTGATAATTCTCCTAGAATAAACCACTTCTCAGAGCAATTAAATAACCAAATGCCTATTGCAAAAGAACCATACTTCTTGGGGTGATAGAACATCTGTAGCAGAGAGAACAGGAAATTCAGGAGAAATCATGAAGCAAATTTTTGATAAACTTCTATAAATGAACAAAGACCAAAATTAAAAATACAAATAAATAACATTCTCTTGGAAGGTCTGGTAGACACAGGTGTGGACATTACAATAATTGCACCAGAATTTTGGCATCCAAATCAACCTCTTCAGTAGGTAAATGTTCAGATGTTAGGGATTGGAACATTATCTCAAATGAAACAGAATGCAAGATGGCTTAGCTGTATAGGGCCAGAAGGACAGAGAAGAAAATTAAAGCCATATGTGGCTAATATAGTTACGAATTAACAGGGCTTTGAGCTATTACAACAATGGAATACCCAGATTAACATTTCTCCAACCTCAGAAACAAACCATAAACTAATATGTTTCTAAGAGAAATATTAGGAGATAATAAAAAGAGCAGTCACTAGTCATCCAGATTGTACAAGAACAGGGCACAACAACTGCTGATCTTTCAAAGACAGCAATAGCTATACGTTGAAAATGGTTAACAGACAAGCTTTTATAGGTTCAGCAATGGCCTTTAACAACAGAGAAACTGTAATCTTTAGAATAGCTGGTAGAAGAGCAGTTAAATGCTCAGCATATTGAAAAATCAACCAGACCTTGGAATTCAACTGTATTTGTTATTAAAAAGAAATCTGGTAAATGGAGAATGGTAACAGACCTTAGAGCAATTAACAAAGTAATTCAGCCAATGGGCTCTCTACAATCTGGAATTCCTTTGTCTATTTTGTTACCTAAAGGATGACCTCTTGTATTTATTGATTTAAAACTCTTTCTTCTCAATACACTTACAAGAAAAATACAGAGAAAGTTTCACCTTCACGG